CACCTGAGATGTCAGGAAAATATAGATACTTTGCACAATCAAATGATTTTCCCCATTCTTCCTTTTGGGGTGGGTGGGGGAAGTGTGAGAAGTTGACTTCATTTTACATCACACTCAATTCCTTCATTTTCTGTCTCCCTATTTGCTTCAGCATACATATGAAGAGACAGTATGGATTGTAGTACCAACCGGAAGAATGGGTAGTGTGACGTGTCATACAGCTGGACTGTGGTGAGGAGACCAGTGAGCCGAGCCCAAGGCCAAACTAGATTTCCCACAGCAATTTACTGTCTTTCTCAGGGAATTCTCTGTGCTTTGTCTGAGGCCTCAGTTTCTTTATAAAATGGGCAATAGACACTTAAGAGTATTGTTGACAGATTTAAATGGCATAATGTGTACATGGGACACAAGTTTGTTAAAACCCAAAGTCTTTACACCTTCTTGGCACCTTTTACCGATATTTAACGTCTCAGTGCTCTAAATGAATAAGCCCAAATTGGAAATAACTGAGGTACAGAACACAGCTGGATGGTCTCCCACAAAAGCATATAGGACTCTTCAGGTTTCAGTATTTTAAATTCCTTTTTAAAGTTTAGGAAATCATGAGTCACTTGTCTCCTAGAAATGCAATGTCTTTAGAACCTAGGTTTGAATCTAGACTCTTCAATTCACTGACTGTGTGACTTTTGACTCCCATTTCCTAAATTATTGTTTGAATGCGATAATTCTGATGCGTGTGTGTGTGACTCAAAATGAGAATATATTGTGCAGAATGTGTAGTTAGTATTCAGACACCCTATATTAGGCACTGGTTGAAACCTGGGTGGTATAGGTACTACCATTTGACCTGGGCATGAGCACAGAGGGAGGGTTCATTCCCATTTTCACTTGGGAAACAGTTGTAGACCTGTGCAACTGCACATGATACCCAAGGACTCCCCCCACTCCTTCATGCTCCAAACTCTCAAAGCACAATGTTGCTTTGATCTTGGGCCCTCTGCAAAAAGTCTCCCTTGGCAAGCATACCTATGACAGTTGGACTCGGCAGTGGCAACTTTCTGTAGACAATGCTGAAAAAAATATAAATGTCAAGTACTCTAGAGAAGACTTGATGAAGGAAGCCAGGTGTATGCTAGAATCCAGCTGAAGAAACTTGAAATTATGCCAGATAGCTTCACATTTTAAAAATGGGGGGGGGATGTCACCCTTGGGAGAATTCCTGAAAGATCTCTATGGCCCTGGTCTTCGTTAGTCAGTGACACCAAGTTCCCACTGCTGATTGCCTCTCGTTCATTTTCTATGAACTTGACAAAAAGAAATGCAGCAAATTCTATCTCAGAGCTCCCAGCCAGATAGGGTAGGGCTATGTTTGTTCTTGCTGACCCAGGAGACTGAGAAACCAATTGAAACTCTTTCTTGTCTCTTGTCCTCCAGTGTTTGTATCAACATAATGGAGAAGTTCTGGTCCAGAGCATCCATGGAGTAGGTGCTAGTGATTTCTGACTACTGTAGGTTTGGGGGAGACCCCCTGACTTAGTTTGCGGGAGCATTTAGCAGGTAGCTGAAAGGCCTGAAGAGGTGGGGTAGCTTCTGCCCCTCAAAATACCCTAAATGAGGTAGGCTGCCTTCCTTGGGTTCATTGGCACATGGTGCCTAAAGCTTCTTGAGGACGGTAGACTCTTTTCCCAAGAAATTTCCACGACAAAGGCATTTGATTGTGTCTACTCTCCACAACCTCCTGCTCAGGGCTGGATCCAGATTTTGTTGAGTATGAAACTTACAAAATTTGGGGATGCCTTCTTAAAGGCAAAGACTACGTTAATTATGAATGCCAAATTAGGCTTGAAGTTGAATGTTTATTTGGAATAAAAATATATCAAGGCAAATTAAAAACTTTTAAGTTGACAACACAACTATAAAAATGCTTAGAAAAGTAATTTTTTTATACTGGACATGCCTACATTAAAACATTCTTCCTGGGGTGGTTTTTTTTTGCCAATTCTTTTATAACTTTATTATATAATTACAGAAATTATACACTATATATACACATATATAAGTATATATATATATATATACATATATATGTATATATACCCACTTTAGTGGGAGAGAGACAGTGATCTGAACTGACTACAGTTTAAATAACCTACTTTTGAAAATTTTATAAAAATATATGACCATGTGGCTGTATTATCCCCCAAGGGCCCCATGTAAGCAAGGAGCCCTCATCACACAAGCTTTATTGGCTCTGTGGTAAGTTTACCTATGAAGCCTGTTTCCCTGGACAGTGGTATGGGATGCTTCCTATCACTGCTCACTTGATGTTGAGACATAACTGGGATTTCAGCCCAGCTCAGGTGCCCAGTATTTCCTCAACTTAAAAATCTTGCCAGTTTTGACTTCCACTCCTTCATATTCCCACCTTCATACAGTAGATGAAAAATAACCAAAGTTTAAGGGGTTTGTCCCTACAAAAGCAATAGGTTTGGGTTGGACTTCTTCATCCACAGTGGAAAGGGCCATTGTCTACATAAATAATTTGAATCACCCCAGGTCAATATGTCCACACCATTTCGGCATCCCACTGTCTCACGGTCCCTTGAAAGAAATACTACGCCAGCTGGTGGGAGTGATCAGCTTTTCTAGCTGCCCCCCAACCCCCTTTCTGGCACCAGGGCCTGGCCTTGAGGCTTCAGAACAGCCTGATAGACATGGGTCCTACTGCTCCTTGGAATATCTGATGGGTCCCCTGTGAGGGGTGGAGGGTTGGAGCAAACCCTGAAGGGGAGAAACAGGAATGGGACATGCAGGTCCAAGTCCAGGCATGGGTTACCCCAGCTGAATGACACTTTGCTCCCTGGTGGTTCCCTGGATACCAGACAGAGACTTAAGACATTTTGAGGAGGTCACTTCAAAGCATAGGGCCCCATGAGGTACCTTTGCCAGCATCTGCAGGCAGTGCTTTTTCTAGTGTAGCAATGACTGAGAAGCTTACAGAGTTAGAACCTGCTGGAAAAGCCAAGTTTTCCCTGAAATTGTTCCTTGTCATTTTAATTGGTTTTATTTAAATTATTTTTTTAAAGAATTTGATGATTGAACTGTATTTTAAACAGCACTAAACACATTTTGCCTTTGGTGATGAAATGCTTTAATGTTTTGACTCCTGGCCACTCACCCATGTGTCCTACTAACATTGCTGCCCTGGTTGCACCTTCTCACTTGTCTTCTCCACATGCTCCTGTTTCTATCCTCCTCACTCCAGTGGTCCACTGTGGTTAATCCTGAGTGTTACTTGTTCAAGATCAGAAGGACTGATAACTTCTGTGTCCATTGTCCTGCCTTGTTTAGGAAATGGGGATGACGTTGGCCAGTTGAAGCCCTTGGTGGGTGGGCTGCTCTGACCCCCTTGCACTAGCGTTTCCCTCTTTTGCTGGCACTGTCCTTCACCTCTCTTTCTGTCTCCCTCCTACAGGATAGCACTTGTCCTCACATAGGTTGTTCTCAGAGCCCGTGTATAAAGAAGGCTCAACAGAACTTAGTTTGGAGAATATAAGATTTAAGGAACATAGTGAGCGTCACCTGTCTGGAGGTTATCATGCAGAAGAGAAGAATGCCTTATTCTTTGAGACCCCAAGCTGTTAAACTGGGCCCGTGGGAAGGAATCTGTGGAAGGTTCAGTCCCAGGGGAAAGTCTCTTTCTAATGGTTGTCTGTGACAGAATGAGCTACTTTTTGGTGACCCCTCAGCACATACATTAGGGGATGGATTTTGACATTGTTTGGATTTGGTGTGGAAATGAAATCTGAGAAAATGGGGATAGCATCTCATGGTTAGATAACATTCTGATAGAGTGAGGGTGTCCCTTTTCTTTGGCTTCACCTTCCTCTCCTAGGCCAAGGAGACTTTATTCCTGGACATGGTTTTCTGAGTCTTTGGTTCTTACACGGGCATCATCCTTATATGCTTAGCCCCTTTTTGCTCTGCTGTCACTCCCTGGCAAAGACCCCATTCCATCTGCGATACTGGCTGACACCTCGCTTCCATAAATTTCTGGTAGTCATGGCCTCCGCTCATGGCCTGTCTAGTCATCACCTTGCCTAGGGCTCAGATCTTCTGCATGCAGCTTAAGCCAGAAGTCCAAGTGTATTGATGTGACAGCTAGGTTGTCATTAAGTCCTTACCAGTATCTGTAATCACCTGAACCTATGATTCTTGACTTATTTGGTTTGGGTGGGTCTCAGTGTTTGCTTTGACTGAACAGTGGATCCCATTGAGGGAATGGATCATGGCACAATCTCCCAACCATGCCCTCCTTGGAATTTTCTCTTTCATTCTCTCCTTCATAGAATATTAGTTTCACAACAGATTCTCATCCGTAAATACATTTTGCTCTGCCTGGCTTGACTAAATATATCCTAGCTTACTCCATTTGTCTTCACCTAGCTTTGTTTTCCTTTTCCCCCTAATTCAGTACTTTCTTGTCACCAGTGCAGCTACTGAGTAACGCCCTAGGCCCTCAGACCCTAAAAGAATGGCAGTCCCTGTTGCATCCATGCCATTCCTGTATGTTTTAATGATAAATTACCCCTTAAAGGAGAAAAGGGGAAGATATTTTTAATGAGGGCATTGGAAATAATTTCCTGCTTTTATTACTAAAAAAAGAAAAAAACAAAAAACTCAGTTTTATGGATTTACAAATACCACATGGAAACAACTCTATAGGAAAGAGAACTGTGATGAGTACTTAAGTTCATTCATTCTCTCTAAGGTGATCTGGATCCAGTCTTGCCCAGAGAAAAGTTGGGCTGTGTCCCGAGCAGGAGTGAAAAACTTGCCATGCCAGATACCTCACAGCTACGTTGATTCCAGCCCTCCCCCATGTCATCTCTTGGGAGCAGACTGGACTTGTCAGGTGTTGTGCTCCGTCTGCCAGTTATCCTCTACGTTCCTTACGAGGCCTTTTGTCTCCCTGGACCCAAATCCTTAACCTTTGTCACATCACTGACTTGGAGTGTCTGCTTGATCACCTGGCAGAAGTGACACCAGCTTTAGAGTACCTCAGCCTGCTGGGCAATGTGGCCTGTCCCAACGAGCTGGTCAGCTTGGAAAAGGATGAGGAAGACTACAAGAGATACAGGTGAGTATCCAGGGGTTGGAATATGGTGGAAATGGAGAAGTAGCATCTTTGAGGGGGGGAGGATGGTATTATGGGATGCACAGTAGGTGTTAGGTAAGTTATCAGTGGACTTCCCATGATAATACTAAACTTTCATCTTTTGGTAACCTGAAGCCATCTTTTCCCTTCATCAAGGTCACAGGAGCCAAGAAACATGAAAAGCTGCTAGGTGGTCTAGGTCGGGGGTTGACAATTTTTTTTTTTTTTAAACAGCAAGGTAATAAATATTTTTAGGCTTTGAAGGTCATATGGTCTGTGTCACAACTATTCAGCTGTGTTCTTAGAGTGCAGAAGTAGCCATAAACAATTTGTAAATGAATAAACATGGCTATTTTTTTTTAAAGATTTTATTTATTTATTTGACAGTGAGATAGAGAACAAGCAGGTAGCAGGGCAGGCAGAGGGAGAAGCAGGCTCCTTGTTATGGAGAGAGCCCAATGTGGGGCTTGATCCCAGGACCCTAAGATCATGACCTGAGCTGAAGGCAGTCACTTAACCAACAGAGCCACCCAGGCACCCCAGCTTGGTTCAATAAAACTTTACTTACAAAAACAGGGAGCAGGCCGAATTTGACCTATGGCCTGTATTTTGTTTACCCCTACTCTATGTTGTAAGATTTTCCTGTGGTCAGCCTCAGAGTCACATTTTACAGAGAAAGCGCTTCCCACTAAAGTTAGGGAGCTTATGTAGAATCCCAAGAGGACGTCCCTGAAGGCCCATAACTTTGTTCCACAACGCTCTGCTCTACTGTCCACCAACCACGTGCTTTGATGGGCTCTAAGGAGAAATGCTTTTCTTCCCCCTCTCTGCTACTAAACCATCTGCTTTGAAATTCCTGATCCACCTCTCTTAGGGAGGTTCCTTCATCTTACCTATTTGACTAAACTCATTTTATATTTTCTTTCTTTATTTTGAATTCTGTGTACCCTTATTCTTGATGTTTTGCAAATGTTTTTAGATGATCTTTTCATGTGTGTAGCCTCTCTCTTCTTATTATATAAGCTCTCATTAACATCCTACCTGAATCAATGTTGGAAGGGGAAAGGAAGGAGGAATGAAAATGTAAGACAGGTAAGGCCACTGGACAATAAATTTGGAAGGATTGGGGAAAGAAGTTAATGATTTCTCTTCGGACTCCTATAAAAATTAGTGGTTACGCACGAAGGAATGAAATCAGGGGAGTTCATGTTGTATAAAGGTAAAGCTGTAAGAAATATTGAAGGCTATTAAATATTCAATATTTTTAATATACATACATATAGATACATAAAGGTACATCAGGAATCCTGTTATATTTCCTTATTGGGAAACATTGTTTACCTTTAACCTTGTTTTCTGGATTTCTAGATTAATGTTGTAGGGGTCTGAGACTATTTTTAAACCATCTTAGAATTAAACTCTATCCCTATATTTATTTATTTATTTATTTATTTATTTATTTTTTAAAGATTTTATTTATTTGACAGAGAGAGATCACAAGCAGGCAGGAGGCAGGCAGAGAGAGGAGGAAGCAGGCTCCCTGCTGAGCAGAGAGCCCAATGTGGAACTTGATCCCAGGACCCTGACATCATGACGGGAGCTGAAGGCAGAGGCTTAACCCACTGAGCCACCCAGGTGCCCCAACCCTACTTTAAAAAAAATGTAGTAAGTCTTTCTCCAGTATGAAGATTTTCATGTGGATGTGATCCTGTAGATTTGAATGTCAGTTCTGTTAGGGGAACTATGATTAATATCCAGCAGGTGAAGAGTTACACATTTCTAAATCAACCCTGTAAGTTGCTTAATCACTTAGAACTTAATTTGCTCCTTTAATACTCTTATCAACTCTGAAACACTTAACAGCCTGATTTCGGGTATGAAGAGGTCTCTTAAAACATATTTTATCTTCTTCCAGCAATTTATAAGACATGTCTTGGAACTATCAAATGAATCCAAGAAAGTTCTTTCAGTCAACGTTTTTAGTAAACCAAGCACAATTTAGGAAATTTTCATTTCTTTTCTGCCTTTTTTCTTTAGATATCTGTGTTTAATTCTTTTTTTAAAAAAATAAGTTATTTATTTATTTTGCTAGAGAGAGCGCACACAGAAGCAGGGAGAGGGGCAGAGAGAGAGAGAGGGACAGAGAGAATCTCAAGCAGACTCCTCGCTGAGTAGGGAGCCTGATGCAGGGCTCAATTCTATGATCCTGAGATCACGACCTGAGCTGAAATCAAGAGTTGGATGCTTAACTGACTGAACCACCTAGGCACCCCACATGTTTAAGTCTTTAAAATAGCCCAATAAATTTTATATATGTATGTATATGCCTGTGCACATCCATGTATATGTGTCTTTGTGTATGTGTGTGTTTGCATTGACACAGATGTTCATTCATTCATTCATGGAGCTGTAGGTAAGCCAAACTGTAGGCACATTTTTGTTGTCTTTTTTTCAGAATGAGAGAAGTAAAGTGATAAAAATCTTCAGTTGCGTCATACTCTATTTAGTCTCAAAATAGAAGATTTATAAGGTTGCAAAAGGAAAAAAGCTAATACTGTTTTTTTTTTTTTTGGTGGTTGTTATTTTAACTGTTCACAGAAGTATAAAAATAATAAGACCCATAAAAGGGTCAGATTAGAAGATGTGAGGTGGGATCCAGCTTTAAAATGGGGAGGCTAGTCTAGATCAGTGACCCTTCACCAAGATATTTTGATTAACTTAGTAGCAAATGCAACAAAAATGTCAATAGGTATTTGGACGCTCACCTGACTATTGGATTAAGTAGTGTTGAAAATTCCTGTTGGCTCTAGCATTCTGAAATACTCCACTTCTAAGATGTTACAGTTCTTCCTTTACTATCTCGTGCCATTTTGTATACTCTGCTTGTATATTTCTCTCCCTACTTCATATATGTCCACATCCAGAGGGTGGCTTCTAGTAGGGAAGGCTGCATCTTCTTGCTCTTTGAAGACGCATCAATATCTAGAGAACAGGGGCCACGTAAATATTCCCTTGGAACATTTGGAAATTATTTTCTTGGAAATTATTTTCTTCTGAGAAGCTGAGTGCTTACAGAGAGACGTATGGCCCCCTGGGCATCTCAGATGCCCGCTTCCTGTTTGGAATCAGATCCATTTGATGTCCACACATAGTTGACAAGCAAGGGACTATCCTTCAGAACCAATCCAAGTCCTGGTCATTGGGTCCTGGTCCTTCAGGGAGGGCTTGGTTCTAGAGGAGTGATTTGTCTCATGGGCTGGCGCTGGTGCCCACTAACCCTGCCCTCCCAGCGCCACAACTGTGGGGGTCGAGGGATGGGCCTGGGGGGGTTGTTGGTTCAGGCACATATGCCAAATGGCCTCAAGGAGCTGGATTCTGAGGGCCACACACAGCTGAAATCACATCTAGTCAGAATAACCCTAGAAAACCCACAAGTCACTCGCAACAATGGGAAGATGCTTATGCTCTGAGAGAAGTAGGAACTAAGAAGACTGGAAGGAACATTAAATGTGTGCCCATCTGGTCCACATTCTCTGCACGGCATGTGAGGGTTGAGTGGAATGGTAGGCCTGTTCTCTAGCAATTCTAAATTTTTTATTCATCTTATTATTATTTTTTTTTTTATTTTTTATTTCTGGTTGACAAGCACTCTCACGCTTACATTTGGATGAGATGAGTGTATATAGGATGTAGTTCTGTTCTCCGGTCTGTAAGCAGTTCTGCTTTGTTCATCTTGGAGTTTGTGCTTCATTTGCCTCTAAGAAATCTTAGCGTTTTACAATAAGGCTTTTGAAGCCAGGGTTCTAGTGTTTGGATTTCTACAAAGCAATGTGGCCACCTTCCTTTTTTTTTTCTTTTGGTAAAATATTTTCCTGGCACTCCATCCACAAAGCATGAGGTCTGCCTTCCTCCTAGCTGTTACCCAGAGCCTAATAGTAGGGCCTCTATGTAAATTTATGTGACATTTTCACTAGAAAATTGCTTAAAAAATGAATGATATTTCTATAGTTTACTGTTTTTCACTTTAAGTACATTTTCTGACAATATGTCTTCTATTAATCATTTAAGCAATAGTAGGAGCCTTAAAGGAGTGTATTCAGAAGCAAGAACCCACGGCTCATTTAGTGCTGTCTGAAAAAATTTCTTATTGATTGGCATCCTCTGTGGTTATGTGATGTAATATTTATAATATGTCACCCAGCCATACATCAAAACAAGTACATCTGTTTCATTTCTAGGGGAGGTGTTGATTTCAGAGAGGTCAGCCCACTTTTAGGTCACGGTGTGGCCAACACTGGAGCAGAGGTGGGAAGTGACAGGATCTATGAAGTTATTGGAAATGGCTTCACAGATGCTTCACTTTCTGCTGATGCCTTCCTCCCATCCCCCAAGTCACCCCTCTTCCTTCCTTCCTTACCCCCTGTGCACACAGTTGGATTTTCTTGGCCCATAACCCCGTAGTAAAATGGGCTCATTAAATCTGTATGTGAGCATGAGCATACTACTGAGTTGTTGAGCATTGCCGTGGTCCTGCTGGGGCAGGAGCGAGCCGGGCCTGGATTTTTCCTTTGCCCATCCATCATGGTTCATGGCTGAGAAATGTCCATTGCTGTGTTATTATAGGAGCTTAAGTCTGCCTGTGCTTTGCTGTGTGTGCACACTGTGCTACTATTTTGGGATGAATGTTGAATAAAGGTGAATGTGATAACAAGCAGCATTCAAGCTTTGGTGGGGAAGAGAGTGGTGTGGCGGGGCTGGATGGACTTTGAAGGCCACGGTCCTACTAAGAAACCACTTGAGGCCTCCTGAGGACTTCAACACTAGCCAAACAATGAGTCAACTGTGGGAGACCTGGGTGCCTAGAGTGGTCTGTTTCTTGTCTTCCTTCGCAATTCCTTTCTCTCATCTTCCTGTAGGAAAGACAACAGAATGCAAGTCAACTGCGCAAAGAGCTAGCCAGACCTGGCTTGTCAAATAAGGAG